GTCTCCAGCCAAATCATGGACCAACCTCCAACTGAGTAACACAAGGAGCAGAACTTACCAACCAAGCACTGTGGTTCACTGCCATTAGTGTTCAAACCCTTTAACATCTGTCCCATTAGGACTAGGCTATGCTCTTCCCAGATAAATGCTTATAATCATGTGCACATAGTCAGTATCACCAAATATTTGTGAGATACACTTACAAAATATATCTCTGCATCTAATTCCTTATTTTCTGGAAAACATTTTTCTTTGTTATTTATTTTAAAAAAACCCCACAAACCCATTTTGAGGCATACCTCCTAGCATCAAAAGTTACCTGTTAGTAAGGAATATAGAAGCTACAATGCAAATACAGGGTTTAACACTCTACCTTGATATAAAAAAAAAGTTTTAATTTAGTTGTGTACAAAGGGCATGAACATTGACAAAGAACAGAGAAAATTTTGTATCAGAAGATTATTCAGCAGTACTTAAGAGTGGGAAAAGAAAAGAAAAGAAAAAAGGAAAGGAAAGGGAAGGAAAGGAACGGAAAGGAAAGGAAAGGGAAGGAAAGGAACGGAAAGGAAAGGAAAGGGAAGGAAAGGAACGGAAAGGAAAGGAAAGGGAAGGAAAGGAACGGAAAGGAAAGGAAAGGGAAGGAAAGGAACGGAAAGGAAAGGAAAGGGAAGGAAAGGAACGGAAAGGAAAGGAAAGGGAAGGAAAGGAACGGAAAGGAAAGGAAAGGGAAGGAAAGGAACGGAAAGGAAAGGAAAGGGAAGGAAAGGAACGGAAAGGAAAGGAAAGGGAAGGAAAGGAACGGAAAGGAAAGGAAAGGGAAGGAAAGGAACGGAAAGGAAAGGAAAGGGAAGGAAAGGAACGGAAAGGAAAGGAAAGGGAAGGAAAGGAACGGAAAGGAAAGGAAAGGGAAGGAAAGGAACGGAAAGGAAAGGAAAGGGAAGGAAAGGAACGGAAAGGAAAGGAAAGGGAAGGAAAGGAACGGAAAGGAAAGGAAAGGGAAGGAAAGGAACGGAAAGGAAAGGAAAGGGAAGGAAAGGAACGGAAAGGAAAGGAAAGGGAAGGAAAGGAACGGAAAGGAAAGGAAAGGGAAGGAAAGGAACGGAAAGGAAAGGAAAGGGAAGGAAAGGAACGGAAAGGAAAGGAAAGGGAAGGAAAGGAACGGAAAGGAAAGGAAAGGGAAGGAAAGGAACGGAAAGGAAAGGAAAGGGAAGGAAAGGAACGGAAAGGAAAGGAAAGGGAAGGAAAGGAACGGAAAGGAAAGGAAAGGGAAGGAAAGGAACGGAAAGGAAAGGAAAGGGAAGGAAAGGAACGGAAAGGAAAGGAAAGGGAAGGAAAGGAACGGAAAGGAAAGGAAAGGGAAGGAAAGGAACGGAAAGGAAAGGAAAGGGAAGGAAAGGAACGGAAAGGAAAGGAAAGGGAAGGAAAGGAACGGAAAGGAAAGGAAAGGGAAGGAAAGGAACGGAAAGGAAAGGAAAGGGAAGGAAAGGAACGGAAAGGAAAGGAAAGGGAAGGAAAGGAACGGAAAGGAAAGGAAAGGGAAGGAAAGGAACGGAAAGGAAAGGAAAGGGAAGGAAAGGAACGGAAAGGAAAGGAAAGGGAAGGAAAGGAACGGAAAGGAAAGGAAAGGGAAGGAAAGGAACGGAAAGGAAAGGAAAGGGAAGGAAAGGAACGGAAAGGAAAGGAAAGGGAAGGAAAGGAACGGAAAGGAAAGGAAAGGGAAGGAAAGGAACGGAAAGGAAAGGAAAGGGAAGGAAAGGAACGGAAAGGAAAGGAAAGGCGCGGAAAGGAAACGAAAGGAAAGGAAAGGAGGAAAAAGAAATATCAAAGGCCTGAGACTATTTAACAAGCTGTACTGGATTATGGTCTCACCCTGCAATTGCCCCTTTGCATCCCTTTGCCCCACTCTGCCAGCCTCACTACTCAGATTTAATCTGCCCCTGTATCAATTGCTCAGGATGCAACAGCCTGACCCCTGTTTTCTGTCTGCTGTTTTGCTACTACTTCCCCTCTTCTCTCTCTGCTTCACTCTCACCTGTGTTCCTATGAACCCACAAACAGGGCTCAACTCTTCCTCGATCACCCTGACAGGGAAGGCACAGCTACATGTGTTTCCTCCAAACCTCAGAGGCAGCTGAAACTGAATAGACCATAAGGCTGGCATGAGACAGGGCCAAGTCAGAGGGACAAAAATGCCTTTCCTCTGAACTTGCACACTTTAAGAAAAACAAAAAAACAAAAAACATCCCCAAAACAACAAAATTTTAAAAAACTCACAGCAAAAAAAATTAAATTAAATTAAAAAAAAAAAAAGGGCCCTGGTTTGATTGCATTACCTGCCTGAGACCAGCATCTAATACTAGGGACAGAGTGATAAACATTCCATAAGTAGAGAGCTAATCTGTGAAGGCATCTCTGCAAGATTTCCCTACTGCAACTCCTCAGCCTTGTATTTTATAACCAAGATGGAAATGTATGATATAACTTTTAATGCATGTCCTTGTTTTTGGCAAAATTGTGAGAAAACCTCTGAATGGGGTCCCTCCAGAAAACAAATTCAAGTCGCCCCTCCCCCAACTGTTCTGGGAAAGGATTTCCTTGGAGAAAAGTGGATAAAACTATTTATTTAACAAGTAAAGTATTCACAAGCATAAAAAATTAATAATATTAAGCAATAAAACCTCTCACTGTTCTGAAGATATGGCAAATTCACAAAGTCCTACACCAGCTCGGCTCTCTCAGTCCCTTTCAGTCCCTCTGGAAGTGCCGAGGCCCAGGCCCCGCTGGGCCACAGGCCTGAGCTCCCGGGGTTTGTCTGGGGTTTCAGTCCAGAGCAGGTTTGTACAGATCTAGAAAAAAAGCCACAGTCTGGGGAACTTCCCCATCTCAGCCAGCTGAAAACTAACAGCAAAGGAGAGCTCTGTCCCTCTGTCTGTCCGTGCTGCAGACAGCACAGTCCAGAGAAGGATGTGGGGCAGCGAGTGCCGTTTCTGAACACAAACTGCGGCTTCTGCTCCCCCCGCTTCGCTCTCAGAACCAGCCTTAAAGGTGCAGAACTTAACATCCAGCGTAAACAGAACAGACAACTGGGGATACAAGCATCATAAACTTAGCCCAGGACAACGCACCACAAACTCTTTTCACAAATCCTCAAATGTTGCACCCGTCATACTTTGAAAGGTGATGTAACACCTGCTTTAAGAGGTGTGCAACAGGGAAACTTCTTTTTCCTCTTTTACATTCTTACAACACCTGAGAAGCAAACTATCTGCTATATTTAAGCTACTTGAAATTGCTAAGGTTGCCTAAGGCACATGAAAACTTGTCCCAAAGACTTCAGGAAATTCCCTAGTGCTGTCACATTTTAAAGCTAGGAAAAGATGGCTGAAGTGGGCTGCAGCAAATTTTGTATGAATTTCTGTTTGGCAGTAAGAAACCTTAGCTGTATGTTGGGAAACTTGTTCAGCAGAACCACAGGAAACAGTATTCCTAAAATTACATCTTTGTGTAATATGTGGCTTATGATCAGCACACAATGATGGCTGTGCATGGAGCATGGTTCCTCCACTGCTAGTGGCAAGTCATATAATTAATCAGTAGCTTTACTACTCATAAACAACTTTTAATTTAAGCCATTTCACATTAAGTTTTATGGTGCTACCGGACAGTAACCAAATGAAGGTATTGCCAGGTATACTGGGGCTGATATGTGGACAATTAGAGAAAAAGAGAAGCATTTTTCATACTGCTCAACAATATTGGGGATCCTGTATTTGTTACTTAACAAAAACATTTCCTTTGTTTTAAGTGAGAGAATAAAAGTCTGTACCTTTCACTTCTTTTACTTCTTGTCCAAAGGAGGAAACAGGTAGGGCAGTTTTCACAAAAAACTATTCTTTGAGGTAAAAAACTGAAATCTCCCAACTAAAATCGTTGTTTCAAACAGTATTTGTCATGTCCTTATGAAAAAGAATTTGCTTTGTGGGGTAAAAGATTATTTCATTAAGTGTTTCCAGGTAAGCAGAATGCACATACTTCTGTACTTCAGTCATGCACAGTAATATACAGGAAGAGCCACACTGGATCATGGGAATGGTCCCACGTCCAATCTATAACAAGGGCTTGAATATAAGAGAGGCAATACCAGATTATTTTGTGTGGACAGACAGGTATACATATATATAAAAAAAAAATACATATCTTATAGCATAACTAAAAAAAGGATTATTCTCATAAGTATGCATAGCTTTTCAGAACATACATGTATTGTTCTGAAATTTTTCATTGCATTCTCAAATGGCACTTGTAGAGAACAGATGGTTCTCAGCTCCTGTCACTGCCTTAACTGTAAGGAAACAAGATCTATCAGGTTTATCATCAGAGGACGTTTACCTTACAAGTATAGTCACATTTTCTTTTTGCTAATTTCCTCCTTTCTTTCTTTCTTTTTCCTCTACTGAGTTGCTTCCTTGGAAAAAACACTGCTTGTTCCCTTTATGTTCTGCAAAAGAGGCATCAGCCTCACAGCTCACTTAGTTTCCTGTGATTTGTGACAAAGAATATGAGAAATTATGAAAATATGATCATATCAATTAAAAAAAAAAAAACAACTTAGTTAAAAGTATTTAGATTTTCTATGGCAGTAGTAATTAGATTAGTGGGAAAGAGGAGATTTCATATGATTAACTGTGACATAAAAGACATCAGCTATGAGCATGCTTTGCTGCTGTGGACACCTATGAAAATAGATACATGACTCACTTTTACTGATGTTACCCAGGTAAAAAAAAAAAAACAAACAAACCAAGCCAGACCAAAAATAAATGAAAACAAATCAAAACAAAAACAAACACAATCAAACAATCAAATCACAACAAACCAAAAAAAAAAAAAAACCCCATACAAATAAACAACCTTACAGATAGCAGTTTGTATATTTTGGGGGTAGAGGTGAGGGTGGGAACAGCAAGGGTAATGTTTCCTGATGGTTCTTTGTTTTCCAGATGGGAAAGTTCACCCTGGACTGCCTGTTCCTCCTCCTGTGGAGGGGGCATTCAAAGCCGCAGCGTCTCCTGTGTGGAAGAAGACATTCAGGGGCACATCAGCCCCGTGGAAGAATGGAAATGCATGTATACTCCAAAGATGCCTGTTGTCCAGCCTTGCAATATATTTGACTGTCCAAAGTGGCTTGCTCAAGAATGGTCTCCGGTAATCAACTTTGTTTTGTTTGTTTTGTATTTTACACCCTAGGGAAAATATCTTAAATTATAGTTTAGTGAGTTTTTGGAAGTAGGAACATTTATTGTTTTCTCTCATTACCAACACCTCTGTTTTAAATTATGCTGCTTGTCTAACTGCAAAGCAACCACTTTGGAAAAATACGTTAATAAGATGAAAATGAGCAAGAACAATGATGGAAAAATAAATCAGCTCTATAATATTAATTTGTGACCTTCTACTAATAATAGACTGGGAATATAAGTGAAATGTACAAAAACCAAAAAAGATTAATAAGAAAAAAAAATATGTAATGGTATTTCTGTATTACAATATTTCAGCCATAAATCAAAACTCAAAAACACTGAGAAATTTCAAGAAGCACATAGATCTGTACATGAGACTCCTCTTTGATATCTGTATTTGTCTGTTACTGACTTGCCTTTCCTTCTGTATGAACGTAAATGTCTTAGAAATGTCCTTCCACAAAAGTAGTGAAATATTTTAACTTTGTACATAAAGACTTAGTTATATGTAAGTATCATTTCTCACCACCCCAGTTTGTAAACAAGTAAATTGTGCTTTAGAAGCTAGGCTAGCCTACCTACAGATGAGGTGTTCTTGACTGATTGCAAAGTGTTTTCTGATTTCCAGATGAAAGTTGCTGTCCAAGAGCAAAGTAATATTGGTAACATCCACAGCACTTCCAACTGATTGTAGTTTTGACCGTCTCCTGTGCAACCAATTTTGAAACAATCTGTGCAAGGGATAAAAAGCTGATGAACCAGAGCAAAAATAAATTAAAAAAAAAAACAAACTAAGAAAGTGTCTGAGGGAAGAAAGCCGAATGGTTTCCAGAATAGCTGAGTGTAACCCTATTGATGCATAAGCCCCAGTACTTTGTCCACGCAGAGCAGAGTGGCTCCAAATGAAACTGACAGGGTGTTACTGAGCATATGCAATACATGACATATGGCTACAAGCCAAGTAGGCAACACTGCAAGAGTGATACTGCAAGAGAAGTTCAGTGGCAAAATGTCCAAATCAAGTAAATGTTCTGAGCAAAAAGGCAAAAATTTCTGTCAATTTTATACTTATCCATAATTACCGAATACAACAATTACTCTATTTTCAAGTTTGGGTGTTTCTGCATCATGTTTGCCTCCCTGACATTGCATAATTCCCCTTATATTTATCATTGCTATGCGTGACTGGGTTTTTCTGCCTTTTCATTTTTTCATGTTTTTTTTTTAAATCCAGTGCACTGTGACCTGTGGACAAGGACTCAGATACCGTGTGGTCCTTTGCATTGATCACCGGGGGATGCATACAGGAGGCTGTAGTACTAAAACAAAGCCACACATTAAAGAAGAATGTGTTGTACCCACTCCTTGCTACAAGCCCAAAGGTAATGAGGCAGGATGTTTCTCTTAAATTTTTCAGAGCTCTTCCATGTTCAAGACGTTTTGTTTTGCTGCTGGCACCCTGTTTCCACCTGCGCTGAGTTATGATTTTACACCTGTCTGTTCCTGTCTGCCTGCCTCGGTTTGGAGTGCTGACCTCTTTTGTCTTACAAGCTTTGGGCCTTTCATAGTTAATTTGTTGTCCAGCAGACTAAGCAATAGAAATGTAAATTTGGATGTATTTTCACAGTTTGCATCCAAGCTAAATTTGTCCTGTGTTTTAAAATAAACTAAAATGAACTATATAAATAATGCCTATGGTAAATAAATGTAACTGTAATTACAAAAGTGCCTGTTCATAACTTATAGCATGAAATAGATCAGAAGCAAGCATATCTCATGAGGTTTTTCTTACTATCTAGGCTGCAAAATTTATCAGACAGAAACATCTTATAGAAAATTATACAACAATTTTTTGTAGTAATATTTTTCTTGCTAGGGCCTCAAACAGAGAGGAAGACTGGAATAAAACCCCCATGGTTTGTTGAAAGAAGAAGGAAATATTTCTGCATTTGTTTGTAGGTTCTTATGGGATGGAAATGTTAGAAAGAGACTTGGAGACTGGGTTGCATTAACAGGCAGTGACCAGGTATAGCAGACACATGTATCTGGTGATTTTCACAGGTATATGAGCATGCATGGGACCATATGCTGACTAATTTATGGAAACCTCTGGGCTACAGAAATTCATGTGGACTTTTCTAAACTGCAGACTTCCACTCTTAAGAAGTCTTAAGAAAACATAAGAAAACATGGCTCTAAAGAAGCCATAAGAAAACAATTCCTTTTAAAAAAAGAATTGTTATCTTGAAACATATTAAGAGCACTTTTTATGAAGCCCTATAAAATAAGACTGATCCAGGACCTTGTGCTCTTCTAAGATGGAACAGTGAAACATATAATTTTAACTTCTGCACTAAGAGGCTGATGATTTGGCACACATGCCAAGTTTCAAGATTCCAGTTTATCATGACCATGAGAATTCATGGTATCTGCCAGGCACCAGATATCTGCTTCACCAGAGTGGTGAAGCTCAGACATAGAGTCTTTGGAAAGTAATGAGTATGTTTACGCTGTATTTTACTGTCCAATATGAGCTTACTCCATCCACCTTCCAAGACATAAAAAAAAGGCAAAAAAAGGCCCTGTGACTCTGTTAGCATGACTCTGAGCCTCATACTGATGATATTCAGTGGGTTTGAGCTCACTCAAACAGCTGATTTTTTGGGAGCATTTTAGGTTTGTGGTGCTCAGAACACATGTAGTGCAAGATCCAGTCTGCCTGCATCATACAGTGTTAGCAAAATGCAGCAAGACACAGAAGAGAACTTGTGCTGCAAACCAGCAGCAGAACTTGTGCTGCTTAGAAGGGTGCAAAGTGAACTAGGAAAGTTTTGCTTACCTCTGTCTGTCATGAAGTGTTTCCAAATGGGACTTGTCAGGGAACAAAGTAAATTACTTCTTGCTGGAAGCTGACCCTTGCAAGAGCATGGCATCTTTATCCTGCATAAGATCTTGTGCTGCCCTTTGCAGCATATACATGATTAATTTCTGATTGTAGGGAGTTACTTCCTTCTTCCATTTTTTCACATGGAATGAAAAGTCCTGTGCAAAGCCTTCTTTAATTTGGTTTAGTTTTCCTCCTCATCTTTGTTCTGCAACAGTCTCACAGTTCTCCATAATGCAAGAGTTAATGTTTGAATATCCATGTATCTGAAGGCTGACCAGTGATTACAGAACAGTGTTGGACTAGACAGTATCCAGAGGTTTCATCCAAACCAAATTAGTCTATTTATAGACTTGAAATTTGTCCTTTTTATTTCACGCAACTAACAATTTCTAGCAGAGTTGGACATTTAGAGCAGTAGGAGTAGTGAAGTACTTCTAATTTATTGAATGTTTTAGTCCTAGACTGGGTTTTTTTCTGCAGCTGGATTAACACAAAGCAGAAGACAATCTTCCAAGCTGACAGAAGCAGCAAGGCAAAAAATGTGGAAGTCCCTCTTCTCTTAACATTCTCTGCAAAAAATAAATAGAAGGCAAATTGTTAATGTAATTTATTTCATTTTAGTTTATTCAAGCTCTTTATGTTGCACCAATAATGGGAAAAACTAGGATATCACTAGATTAAGTAATGATTTTCTGATTTTATAGAGAATGTATATTCACCTAATACAATTTTCTGTGTAATATACAACCATTTTTACTGGAAGTGTTTTATAAAAGAAAGATTTTACTTTAATCTCCAAAGGTAATTTTTTTTTCATTAGCTTATATGAGAAGTGCTTTTTGTTCATTTTTCTGTCAAAGCATACTGTACAACATCAACATTTCTAATCATCTAACAAATTTTCAGTGTAGATCATAATTAACTACACCTGTAAAAAAATAAGGTTATTTTAAAAGTGACAAAACAGGCTATGTTAGACAAGGATTTTTGTTTTTACAAGCACTTGCATCTAAGCAAAAATATCAGAGAAGTATTACTTTCCAAAACCCATAAAACAAACTGTAGAGCACATAAATAGAAATATTTCCTACATATTCTGGATGATTAGGAAAGTATAGACTAAACTAAGAGCTGTGATGGCAAACATTCATCCTTAAATGGCACTAACATGTTACGTGAAGAGCTTGACAAGCTGTTTTTAAGACAGAGGAATAGTAATTCTATTACTGTCCCTCTTTTCCTCAGTTAATAACTTGCTCCAAGGAATTTGCATGACTAAAGTTGCAGTAGCTGTGCAGTCAAATTATAGGTCATCATTCCTCTGTGATACAACTGAGAGATGGAAAATTTCAGGTGCATATGTGAAATGTTCATTGTTCTGCACAATAGAGTCACAGAAAATTCCTGACTATTCTGAAAGATGTTAACCTACTCCTGTTGATGAGTACAAGTCCATCCTTACTCAAACCCAAAAGGCTTAGGTGATTTGTGAGTGGCAAATAGGCTTTAGCCTATAACCTAATAGCTCTGGTTCTCCTCAATGGTCTGAGTCTCACCACCCTCTGTGGTTTTTCCCCCTGATCCCAGCCCAGAATGTCCTGTTGAAGTGCAGAGCTTCTTCACAACTTTTAGTGCCAAATTTGCTCTTGCTTTATACCCCTGTAGAGATAAAACAGCTCTGCTGCCTTCAGCTCAACTACTCCGCTCTGACACTGCATGAAAGTGGAGTTTGGCTTGCAAAGCAGCATGGCCCTGCACTCCCCAGAGCAGAGCAGCTCATTACCTTGTGCACACATCCTGGAGGGGAGGAAAAACAGATCCACTGTTTTCCATCAGGAATGACAGAAAAAGTATCGAAGTATCAAGCTCATTTTTTTAAAAAAACCACATAGCTGATGAACTGATAAACAAGTTGAAAAGCATAGCTTGTCATTTAATTATAGTTTTCCTCTAGTATCACTCATCAAAGCAGGATTTTCTTTATTTTTGTAATCTAGCTAAGCCAAGTTCAGCATGTCTTCCAAAATTCTAAAATTTAAAGGTAAAGAAAGAATGTTATACATTTTGCCTTTTGTAATGGAGGCCTGTTACACTTGCAAGTTTCCCTTCAAAAATACTTTCCAAAGTGCCTACTTCTACAGTTCCATTATATAGTCTGAAAGGTGACAATTTTAATATCCCTGTCTGGATTCAGGGCACTATAGCCCTTCTACCTGCGGCAGTGAAATATCTGGCCACATAACCTTGCAAGTGATATAGTCCAGGTGATGAAATGTTTGTTTCTCTCCCCTGTGTCATCTTTTCTCTTTTTCTTCTTTTTGCCAGGCCTCTGTGTGTGTGAAGGCACCCATACACCACACACATGCTTGGTGAGCACAGGGAGGGAGGCACACACAGCAGTGTTACCACATGCTTCCTATTTTCACGTGCTTATCTTTGCTCCATAGAGAAACTTCCTGTGGAAGCAAAGTCACCATGGTATAAGCAGGCTCAAGAGCTGGAGGAAGGAACAGCCGTATCTGAAGAACCCTCGTAAGTCTCAAAAATTTGCTTACAAGTGGTCCTTGTTACGTGACCCTGAGAAGCAGTGGTTGTTCCCTCCCTAGTGGCATTCAAGACCAGGTTGGATGAGGCTCTGAGCAACCTGGTCTAGTGGAAGGTGTCCCAGGCCATGGCATGGGGAGTGGGAACTTGAGGATCAATAAGGTCCTTTCCAAGCCAAAGCCCTCTGTGATTCTGTGTTTACACGTGGGAAACTGGGACTTGTGCAGAACCAGCACAATCTCTTGCATGTATTTGGCTTCTGTTAGAGTGTAAAGGATGAGCCCAGCCCTGTGGCTATCCATGGTCTTAAGGCTTAGGTGCAAAGAGACAGATTTCAAGAGGGTAATTTAATTATGGATTTAATTTAAGCAAATATAATTTAATTTAATTGCAGATTTAATTTAAGCAAATATACACATTTTATATAAGGTCATTACAAGAATATTGTAATAAAAGTGCATCCACCTATGTATTTTTGTGTTCTCTATTACCACTATATCTTCACAGCTCAGCAGCTTTATTTATTTTCTCAATAACCCCTGTGAAGTAAGGGCCAAACAAAGCGGCCAGTGATGACTCCCTCTTGCCTTTTTCCCCAAGCAAAAGCATAGTAACAGCAAAAAAAGTATAAATTTTAGCAGAAAATAAACTAGAATCATGTGATGCATACCACATAAGCCTGGAGCAATGAGACTAAGAAATTATAAGTACTCTAATGTTTTGATACAAGTACTTATTAAGTTTTTGATGGTTTTGTCTGAAAATGCAATAAATCCATGCTATAATTGCAATGTCCATACAGAGTTTCCATCAATATCTTTGTGTTCCTTGTGTCTAAGCACATGGCATTTTTTATTATAAATGCAACTATGTATTATATTTAAAAACATTATTATGCAATATAATTGCCGTTTCAGCATGATTAATCTGAATTGAAGTAATTAGAAAATGGAGCATTGCAAGAGAGCTGGAGACATATGTAGTAAGTCTTTCAAAACAAAAGAAAAATCCAGCTGTCATATATATAAATAGATACATATAGACAAATATGTTTGTATACAGAAGCATTTATACACACATATACACAGTCAAATGTACATTCATATGTGTTTATATATATTGGTAGCATCTATCACATATAGATAATGAGATCTTTAACTGCTTCCAGGACTTCATAGACTTTATGGATTGATTAATTCAGAGTCAAAGCGTAGAAAATTTGGTATTTATGGATATATTAATTTTTCTTTTGTAAAGTACATTATTTTCTTGTGATTTTTCTCATGACTATACTAAATTTCTTAGCTAAATGTGCATTTATTAACCTGTAAATAAACCTTTGGAGCACACCTCAAATAGGAACAAAATTGATATATTGTTATGTGGTCATATTCAGAATAATTTGTTACTAAGAAATAACAAAGAAATTTTTTGATCAGTTTTGTGAACAAAGTTGATTGCACTGTAGAAAAGGAGTATAGGTATATAAGTGTGTGTGTGTGTACATATATGGGCATATGTAGCTTTAAATATTAACAATAATAATAACAACAATACTTTCAATATTAACAAGAAGGGATTTGTAGAGAATAAACATAACCTATTGTTTGTCATGACATGTATTTTAATAAAATCTTTTTGAAAACCTTATGGGTATATTACTTCTGATACTGAAACAGTCCTTGAGATATCTAAAGGAAAGGAGGTTTAAGAACTTCAAATTCTTTTCAAGTATAGTTATGACACCTCCATACTTTGTGCCACTGCTCTGCTGTATTGAAGGCCCTTTTCTGCAAAGGCTATTGCATTTATTGCAAGGCTACTGTGGTGCCAGTGGGACACGTTAATTCTCATCCTGGACAGTGCCCCACAGTCCAGACTAGGTTCAGTTTGCCATGAGGTGACATTTTGTACATTTGTTTCACCCCTACAAGGCAGAAAGCCAGGAATATTTCTAATCTTCATTTTAGGCTAATGAGAAACCTCCTTAATATTAGTTCAAGTATAGATTTTTATTAAGTGTTGACTAACAGGAAGAATAAAGGGCACAAAGTCAGGTTCTTCACACAAACTTTACCAAAGCTCAGAGATGCTTTGAGTTTAGTTTAGAATGATTTTTGATGATAAGGCATGAGACAGGAAAACCAAACGAAAACATAGAAAATTTGTGCTGGAAGAACCATCCATGCAGTCCCCATTTGTAAACTCTAACATTCATCTACATTGTAACATTCATCTACATCTAGTTTCAGAATAAGTAATCTGTTTCAGGAATTTTGAGTTATGAATTTCCACCTAAAATTGGTTTTGATGCTTCACTATTAATATTGTTTTTTATTAATGTCTGACTTTAAACAGTTATTCATTTTAGGTCCTGATTATTAGATTAGAAAACTGTGTGTAACAATATAAAGAAGGAGACAAAACATTTAGAACTCACCACAATACAAGGAACAATCAACTTTGGGGGCAGCTTTATAGCATAATTTCATTCAGCTGTGTAGGGATTTCAAACACACCAAGAGCGAGGTGTATTCCCTGATAATGCACCTTTTGGCTAGTGCTCCTGCAGCTGTGCAGAGACACAATGTAATACTCCATGGCCCACCACCCTTACAGATGTCAGGCTACCACCCACATATTTTGGCTGATAAATGATCAGTCTGGAGTGTAGATGCATGGGAATTTGAGGCTTGTAACAGCTGGGAGCTTTTTAATATTGGATTGAGCACTAGCTGTTGTAAGACTGTGTGATGTGGTCAGCTATTTTGCTGACTGTGGACTAACCAAAATGTGAGCAGCTGTGAGGCAGGAGGAACAGCAGAAGGTCTTGAGTGGCATGGTAAGCCAGGTGCTGAAGAGGCAGCATTTTGTTCATAACCATATTTAAGTTGGAGAAATGGAAGTGTCTTCAGACAAGTTTTGCTTATATGATTTTCCTATTCACTCTGTGTTGGTGCAGTAATTACCAATTCCATTACTCCTCTTGGGCAGACATCAGCAAGGATTCATTCTTTTCCCCCCATTTCATCTGAGGCTCCTGCCAAGCTTTCTTGTGCCACCAAGCCCCTGACTGCCCCCATTCTCCTCTACAGACAGGGCTATTCTTTGTAGCCAATAGACCATTATTCCCTGTCCACTGTGATCCTTTCTCCCTTATCCTTCCTCAGGCAAAGAAAACAAGCCTCATCTTCAAGCAATTCTACTGTCCTTCTCAAAGTTCATATTTGATTAGAAGTTTAAAATCTAAAAATCAAAAATTTGAAAAAATCAACATTTTCAGCTTATTTCTTATAAGATTTGAGATTAATTTGTGAATCTCTGTATTGCTATCTTCTGATTTTTATAATTTTCTGTTGAATATTATTTTTGTTATGAAATTGCACACAATGATTTATAAAGCTACAGTATTTCTCATATACTATCCTTCCACCTGTAATTTGTGATCATTCTCTGATATGTGCTGCCAGAACACCATGCCAGATGCTGCAATTTTATTCCATCTGTGTATAATGCCTTCTATTATTTATATCTTCAGGAATTTCTAATGCAAGCAAGTCTTACAGTTGAATTTTGTCAGTATATTTCTATCTGTCATTTGCCTTCCTCTCCTCTCAGTAATGTCTGAATTTTTGACTATTAACTGATTCTGACGGAGCTATAAAATTATCACAGAGAATTTTACTCCTCTGTCAAACTTGGTTGATATTCTTCAGGAAATTCAGTGGAAGTATTTTCCACTTGTGTCACTGAAGTAAACTACTGAATAGAATTCCCCAGTTGAAGAAGAGATTTTTAGAGGAGTTCAATCCTTAACAGACAGCAGAGAATCCACTTGGGCATTCAGCCTTCAAATGTAAATCCATGTTAAGTATTTCTTTATTCATTCTGTGGCTCAAAGAATTAATCACAACCAATTCAACCACTTCAAGACTAGAAAGAATAGTTATGTTTGTGTTGTCTGACCTACTGCACCCTTAAATGGGATCAATTAAAAATTAATTGCTGACAGAACTACTATGAAATATTCTCTGTTGGTAAAAAGTATTGTAGTCTTTGTCAGAACAAATGTTTAAGGTGAAAAGGCTTTGCTATCCTGTGTTGAGGTACATTTTGTCTTCCTATTGGTGTCCATCCCTGGAGTGACCATTCACCAGGCAGTAGAAATGTTATCTGAGGAAGGAGTCACCGTATCTTTCTGTCTGACCTCTTCTGCTGGAATTCATTACATCAGCACAGTGTGACAGCCAAAGTCAGAAAGAGTAGCAGTCATGATTAAAAAAGCATGGGGTTTTCTGTGTATTGTGGGATTTGGTTAAGAACTAGTGCAAGGTTTCTTTAAAAGATTTCTGTCTCTAACTTTTGAAAAATGCTTTTGTATTTTAACACCATGTCCAGCTTTTAACATACTGCCATAAATAACCCTGGTGCTAGCCATTAAAAAAAAAATAAACCAGGGGGACAGGATTGGGGGATGGCTGAGTGATGGAGGAGTGGCCAAACAATAATATCTGGGTACCAGATGGCACCATCATAGTGATGGGGCCAGTTCCGTAAAGCACAAAGGGAAATTCCTGACATGCATTAGCAGAGGTGACAAAGCCCTCAGGGAATTGGATATGGACAGAGAGACCAGTGTGGCAGGGGCACACAGTATCTCTTTCTCCTTTTCTCCTTTTCAGTAGGTGCCTATGCTTCTAAAGACACATAAGCTATCTTAATTTGATTTTCCTTGTTGACCAGTTGCCATTATTTATTAATGGAAATAACAGAAATATTAATGGAAATTAATGGAAATACTCCATTATTTCCTTTCTTTGTACCTTATTCACAGCTTAGTAAGTTTAAAACTTCCTTTTATGGCTTTACTTTAAAAATAAAACATGTTATGATTGTTGGATGGCAAAAAAAAAAGATAGTGAGAACATGTATAGCTTTATCTACAGGGCCACTGCTTGTACTCTTTAGATTCATGTAGTGAAGAGGAAGAAGAAGGTGTAGGGAAACAGATCTGATACCTGTGGCTGGTCAAAGAGAAGGTCAGCAATGAAGCAGGCACACATTAGGTAATGGTTTCTATCTACTCATTCAAGGACCCACAGTCACAACTACTTAGGATTTATGCGTAATAACAATACAGGAGAGAAAGAGTTATCCCTCCCTGTGGAGAAAGGCAGCAGTGAATGAAAAGTACCAACAGCATCTGATGAAGAGACAAACCTGAAGAAAAAAAATCAAATTAAAGCTACTTAAAAGAAACTATAGAGGGACAGAATATAATCACTCTAATTGGAATTGGACCTATGCGGCTGCCTCCACTGTTAATACTCTTACAGATGGAGCCTTTTATTATTATTTATAATAATAAAAAATATTATTTTATTGATAAATGTTAATGACCACTGTTTCATGTCTCTGAACAATGACACCAGCAGCTATCCTAGTAGTGTATGTGAGCATTAAAACCTGTGGGAAGGTGGCATTACCTGGAGGAAAAGCATGGGTTTGCATTTCAGCTCAAGACAAGGAGTCTGGAAGTCTGTGCTCAGTTCTGGATCTATCACATAAAATTCCCAAGCCTTCAAAGAAGTCACTGAAAATTTCATTTCATCAGTAGTATCTGAGTTTAGATACTTTAATAGATGGCTGTCTCTGCTTTAGAACACTCAGTCCCACTGGTTTGTGCATGTCTCAAAACCTCAGACTTTATCTAAGCCATGGATTTAACCAATGGTACTTGAAAACAAACAAAGCAAGAAGATAAAATGCAACAAATGAAAAAACATTGAGCAATAAAAATTAAGGGCAACATGTAATTATGTAGCAGTGAAGAAAATTAGCTGTTTTTCTACACGGATCAAAGCACACACTTGTTTTTCTTCATAATACATATTGTAGGAACCCAAGTCCTAAACAGAAGAGGCTGTTGCTACATTCAAGAGTTTTGAAAATATGCAAAACTCTCAGCAGAGTTCTCTGTGGGTCTCACCCTGAACCCACTGTGACCTGCTGTGAAAGGTCTCCCACTGTTGAGTATTGACATTGTCTTCTTATTTCTCTTCTGACTTTCCCAGTTACGTATATGTTGCTGTATGGAGGGGAATATGCTTCAGTCCTTAGCTGAAGGAATGAGTTATTGCATTTGTCTTGTTCATTGTTATTAGAGGGATGATTATTACAGTGGGATTTAAGTAAGCAATATGGAATGACAACTGAAACACCTCAATCATTTCCCATTTTCTAAAAAAATTTCAGTGTATCTATTCCACTGCTTCCATTTTCCAAGCAGCTCAGAGGTTAGCATACAGAAATGCCTAATGCTGAGCATTGGAAGATGAGCTATATGCAGGACAAATAACTTCAAATCTATAAACTGTCCCCTTTGCATTCATATACTTTTTGTGGTTTGTTCTCACCATTTGGCAACACTTGTCGTTAATGGCAACACAAAGATATTTAAAAGTAATTTTTGATGTTAGGATGATGGAAAATTCAGAAACACTGTATATTTATCTTATACGTTCACATTACATAAATGTTTCATTTTTAATGGCAATTACTATATGGAGATTTCTTTGCAGGGTTTTCTTGAGTTTCTTCTCTTTTTTTCTTCTTTTAATTCTTTTGATTCTGCTAATTATCTCTTTCTCAGTTAACAGTTATATTAGAATTAAATCACATTTCCAAAGTTAGCACTTAAAATGTAGGAACTTGGCCTAGACAGCAGCAAAAATACCATTTCCTGAAGGTGTTGTGTTTATTCATTATGAATTGCTGACTCAGGTGAAAAAATATAGTACATGGCATTTATAGATCAAACCTCATTTCAGAAAGGATCCAGTCTTCTTCTGTGTCCTCTCCCTTTTTTCCCATGTTTGTACATATGATACACATCATGTGCAAATATTCCAAGTATTTGAAGTATCTCTGTTTTTCTGAATTAATAGTTTTAATACCTTGCAGATTATCCTCCCTTTTGGTTTGGAGTACAGCAGGTCTCCAACAAAGCAAAATTACACAACAATTTACAGCGTTCAAGAATATAAGACGGCTTCTGATGAAAAGCAGGACCCTTTTTTCCCATAATCTGATTGGGGTTTCTACCTCTCAGTTTACCAGGTTAAGAAGCTGTACATTTCAACTAGTCAAAATATCTAAGTCACAGTAGCTGATGCAAACCACTAAATCTCTGACAGGAGCTTTTCCATATCAAAATAGAATTACAGCAGCTGCAGTCTTAGAGTGGCCCACCTGTAGTGCTAAAGAGTATGACCCTCTCAAAATGAAAGATATCGTCTTGGAAACAAGACTTGTATTTTAAGTTAAAATGTCTTAAGAGTAGGAAAATGTAATCAGTTTGTATCAGTAGTTTCCCAAAAGCTTTTCTCATAAAAGAATTCTGCAGTCTTGTAGCAGCATGATAAATATTTTCAAATTTTACAATAATACTTGTAATAAATTTCTTTCCTTTCTGTTACTTTCTGTGTATAGTGCTAGTAGTGGATGTCAGGTTTACAACAAGATGTTATAAAGACCTACAAAAAGTGGGTAAAGAGATGCTTTTTACTCCCTGCTCCAAAAGACTGTGATATTCTAGTCAGGATTCCTGGTATATACACCTGGGAAAACACTAGCTTACCTTTTAGGCTTTGGATGTTTCTTAGCTTTGACTTGGAGGGAAAGCCCTTTTGTCAACTAGAGAAAGGTAGTGGATGGAAGAGAGAAGAGTGTAAAAATATTTTCAGATATGCTGATCCCAAATTTCCCTTCCTATCAAAACTGCTCATGGGATTTCCAAGGTAAGGAATGAGTTTGCTAGAGCCCTAGACAATAGTAGAAACATACAGGTGTACTGCCTTCAGCCCTGGGCAAAGCTGTCCAACTCTGGTGTGGCCTATCAAAATAAAGGCCAAAGGAAGAGGAATACTGTCAGTGATAGCCAGGTTTCCATGAAAAATACACCACAAAAGCTGAGTTTGCAGAAGCACACAGATTCCAAACACTGATAATGAGGGAATGTTGTCAACTAGGATTGTTTCTGTGAGGTTCAGTGAGGATCAGTGCCAGATCCAACTATTCATTCTTTTGTTCTACTCCTTGAAGTATTACAACCCTTGCCTTAGAACTTGCCTGTGGCAGAAAGTTTGGAAGAATGGCCAATGGAGAAGTCAGATAAAGCTATCTAAATTACACTGTAATACTTTTAGTGCTCCAATACCACTGACATTAGGTATGAAAGCATAGGGATTGCAGGTTATGGAATGCCCTGCAACTATTGCTTCTGGATAGATTAAGGACTCAGTTCAACAAGAGCTCAGCAGAACAAGGTGTGTTACATTACTGCAGCAAAGTAATAGTGATGTGGTATAGAGTTGAATGTGAATCTTAGGCTTGATAACTTTGATTAAAATTCTTGTCCAGTTTCTAGCACTGACATTGAAAAAGCAGTGACATCACAGAGAAACTGAGAAATTATTGAAATTGTTGAGGAAAATAATGAGAGATGGAATTCAGTCTGTTTTATTGCAAGGACAGCTGCAAAGTGCTTTTAATAAAATAATAATGGATTTTCAGAAGGAAAAATTTGGAGCATATAAGGGTTACTGATCAGCAAGACAAGTGCAACAGAAAAACAAATCCACAATAGAAATTAAACACTATTGTTAATTGTTTATTTTTTAATGAGAGAAAGTTAAATGTCTTAGGGAAATAAACTTTAAAAATGTATTTAAATTTTTAAAATTTTTAATTTAAAGTTTAAAATTTAAAGAAAGAGAAAAAAAAAGGTGAAGAGATCATGAATTCTCTTCACCTTTTGCTAGCTTCAAATTAAAGCTTAAAAACAGTTGCTGTGACACAAGAATAATAATTGAAATTATTTTCCATGTAGTCCTGCAGTTACCTGATAACAGCAGCCTGCTCAATACTTACTAGCAAAAAAAAGAATTAACAACCAAGGCAAAGATTATCCAGGTTGAATACTTGCAAAAGGTAGCTAGAAAGATCATCATGTTCATTGGGCACATTGGGAGATTGCTGGATGCCTTGCACTGCAAAGTTTTAGGATCAAGGTGGGTGTTACAAGGGTTTGTCTTTCCTCTTGGACATGAGACTTGTCAATGGAACCTCCTATGTGTGTTTTTAAATAAACATATGATGAGATGAAGTACTTGTTTTTTCTTAAATAAAATCTGGCCTGGGTAAGACTATCCTGCTTTTGCTTTCCTGGCAATTTGTGGACATAACTTGCCATGCTCTATTCCTGTCACAGGTTTATTCCTGAGGCTTGGTCCACCTGTAGTGTCACCTGTGGAGTAGGCAGCCAGATGCGGCTTGTGAAATGTCAGGTGCTCCTCTCTTTCTCTCAGTCTGTGGCGGATCTGCCCATCGATGAATGTGAAGGTCCCAAACCTGTGTCTCAGAGAGCCTGTTACAGTGGTCCCTGCAGTGGGGAGGCAACTGACTACACCCCAGAGGAGACTCAGCTTTTGTATGGCAGCTTGCAGGAGTTTGATGAGCTCTATGATTGGGAATATGAAGGCTTTACAGAGTGCTCAGAGTCCTGTGGAGGAGGTAAGTGCAGAATGCTTCTGTGCTGGATTTACTTTTCTTCTTCAAGTGGGCTTGGCACTTAATACTCATAGACATGCTGTTTTGCTATGGCTAGTTAGAAATCATTTAGGAAGGAAATAAAACTTTAAGACTGTTGAGATCAAACATATTTGAAAACATGGATAAGAAATGTGAGAAAATCCCATGAGCACAACATAATTTAGCCCAGGACTTCCAGATCTGTGCTCAGACTGTCATGAACAGTGCTCAGTTTATCATATATTTCTGTTTCCTTTGTCAGCTGATCACCCAAAGGCAATCACTAAAAAAAGCTTAATGTTAAAGGGGTCTGGTGGTACATGCTAACAAGCAAATTTTTAGTTCTTATCTATTGTTTTGCTCTGTGTAAACAAAAACATGTGGAAATAAATTGCCCTCCAATAGCAGATGGAATAAATAATGGATATTTTAAGGGCTCAGCTGTTCCCTAACTCCTGTCAATAAGGGACATCAGCTCCAATCCCACTGCAAAAGAAAACTTATGGCAAAATGGCATTAATGATGTAGTTGTCTAAAACAAGGCTTGGCAACTGTAGTTGCTCAAAGTCAATCAAGTTCTCAGGTTGCACATATTATACACCATTAACACATTAACATTTCTGACATCCTTTTTTCTCCCCATTATTTTATCTAATTAGTTCTGAGAAATACATCCAGTCCAGTATTTTTTCAAATTAAACCTAAATTTTTCCAGCTCTTGTCCTTTTACTTTACAACTTTCAGGTGATTTAAGAAAGAATTTCTATGGAAAAATACAAAATATAACTGTAGAACTGCAAACAACTCAGCATTTTGGAAGTTAATAATCTCTATAGAGTCACAGGTAATCTTGAAAACCATGATAAGAAGAAAACAATGCAAAGGTTTTCTGTGCTTACTTTAAGCTTGCTGATGATCGTCATTGTTTAGAGCAGTTCACAGCTGTCAGACCATTGACACTTTTGCTTTATTTCCTACACAAAAAAAAAGAAAAAGTGACACTACTGTAGGCTAAGTGCTGGCAAACACTGATGTGACAGCAGTATATGTCGTGAGGTTATTGGCAAGCAATAACAATTTATTACACTTTTACTGTGACTGCCAAAACCTGAACAGTTCCTAGAAGCATCCTCATGAAATAAAATAATTTCTGACAATATGGAGCTTATGCTTGTATTTTTCAAATGTAACTCACAGATACTGATTTGTGGAAGACATTTTTCTTTATAAATTTAATCTCTTTCAATTGTCAGCAAAACTTTTTAGCCAAGATTTCTGTTTGTTTGACATTAACTCCAAATTTTCCAGATTAGCAGATGCTAAGTGAGTTATTTTTGTAGCCATAGGTGCAAGACTGGTCAAACTAATTTTATTGGTTTTAGAGTCCTGGGAGAAGAAACTGGATAGATGCAGAAGTAACCTTTCACCTCCCAGAAGCAGCAACGAGAAGGAATGAATTAGTCATATAGCCTGCTGGTGGTGGCTTCATTTCCCAGAGCTGTCATCAAGTGTCATGTAACAATTATGCTATCCTGGTAGATATAAACACAGAAATTCTCATTTGATGGTGTTTTGAAAGTGAACTTAAACTGCCTAGATTCACATCCCACCATTACACATTTTTATACTGTATTTCCCATTGAGAACTGGTTTTTTTTTCCCAAGGAGAGAAATTTTAAAGCAGACAGCTTTTGTTCTAATAATACTGTACAGTAAATAATGTTTTGAATTCAATCACTTAGCAAATGAACTTCCTGAAATTATATATCTTTTTTAATTATCTCTGTGCTGTGGAACTTCTGATTTATGATCAAAAGTTTCTATATTCTCTAAGTGTTCAGTGACCCATCTTAATTTAAAAACTTATAACCATTTACCCCATTGACCTATCAAAAACAGAGGGGCAGCTGTTATCATTATTCTAGGACACACTAGTGTGAGATTCAAGAAGAAGCTGAAGAAAGTGATTATGATGGCATTTTTTACTGCTGGAGCGAGCCAGATTTTTCTATCTTTTTTTTTTTTTTTTTTTTTTTTTTTTTTTTATTTTTTTTTTATTCCTGGCACAAGCTATTAAAGCCAAAACTTGTTAATAAACATTCTAGCAACCATATTCAGACAGGAACCCTTTTCTTTGATAGCTATGCTGTCAGGCAAGATTTCTGGTCCTACCAGGACCTTTTAAAGATAAAACCAAATTTTAATAGAATAGAATGCCTGTAGTATGGACAAGAATTTTTGGAATTTCAATCAGAGATTACTTAGATGAGAGAAATAAGCATGAGGAATGAACTTAGTGGGAGGTTTAAGGCTGGTTAGGTACTGAAAACTGAAGAACAGTAGTATCAGAGGTTGGCTACATGAATCTGGTAACATTAAACCATCAGCATGAGGAAATGGAGAAAAGGTTGAATTCAGCCCTCATAGTCACTTTCATAGTCACATCACTTTTCAGTAGTCAACACTGAAACAATAGAAAAGTGTTAAGTTGATAGTAATTAGTTGAGAGCTCATTAGTAACAACCTTCAGAGAGGAGAAACTGAAACTGTGGATGTACGCTCAGTTTACAAAATTTTATCTGAGAAGGACATACAGAAAGTGAGTGAGCTGTATGCCTAAGAAACGGGAACATGTCAACCAGCACGTGTCGGAAATCAGTGGTTTCTTTCCACAGAGTTTGGAAAAAATACTTTCATGGTTTCCATACCTCTGGATCAGCAGTCCTTTTTCCTGGCTTCATCAAATTGGTCTTGATGTCAGGCCTGCACGGATGTTCCATCCAAAACAGAGACCAGTAATCTGAACACAGTGCCATTTCCCATCAGGTAGAGAACCACCTCTGTTCTTCAGCCTGGAGTATTCCCTTCTGGAGAATCCATATGCCTGTGTTTTCTGCACACAATGTGATTATATGCTCAACAGAGAAATGATTGAGCTAGAAAAATAATGAACATGACAGGGAAGTGAACATCTTGTTCATATACATAAGTTTTGTAAGTTGATTTTCCTAGATACAAATCACTGCCTTTTGCTCAACAGGCTATCCTTTTTACAATTTTTCTTGAGTCTTTTGAGAGCTGACTTGAGTAGCAAAATTGAAAATATGGGGCCACTTTTAAAGAGGGAAACGCCCAACAGCATTGGCTGGCTACAGGGACTTCGGTAATTTTGATGTTGGTGTCCATGTCCAAAACTGTCCGATTTCTTTATTTTTTTCAATACCTGGGATATGGGAGACACACTGCATGGTCTTTTGTCATAGCCATGACCTTAATAGGCTTACACACATAGCAGCCAAAAAAATGTTTAACAGTCCTCTTATCTGGGGCCCTCAACCTGTACTGAGATTAAGGAGAATGAATCTGTGAATAATGTCAAGAATATAGGAACTGTGATCAGCACTTTGGTCCTCTTGAAGGATATGAAGTAATTTTTTGCCTAATGACATGTGCTCTGGCATTAGAAACACCAAAAGATAATATTATCTCTGTGACACTGTTTTTGGTGGTCTTTAAGGTCTTACAACACTTTGTTTTGGTCTGGGTTTTTTTTCCCTTCACATTAGTGTCTTAAAAAATTGTGAGATGTTTTGGAAAAGTGTTGTTTTTGAAACTATAATTTAATTGTCGGGAGTTCAGCTAATCTTTTCCTAACTCAGAATGCAGGAATGAATGTAAGAAACATATTTTCATTGTATTTGAACCACTGTGGATTAGATTCTCAGGAAGTTCAGGCAAATTATTATCCTCAGACCGCCCTCAGACCCCTTTTATTCCTGGGGAAATAGGTTCTTTCTCATTCAGTCCTCTTCCCTTGGCACATAATGTTGCAATCCCTGATGTTCTAGCTTTCTAACCTTATGATCCAAAAAACCAGTGATGCCCCTAGTCATAGGAAAAGTGAGAGTAATTGGTATGCCATAGACTATATAAGGATTTTGGATTTAACAAGGAATTTCTAAGTTAAACCATAATAACCAAATCTTCCAGTTTCTCTTAGTCCCAACAGTGACTGTTCTTTCCCAGCTCTCTCTAACCTATCCTTTCCCAGCTCTCAGACATCCCTGCAGGTTTAGTTTGGATGCAGGCACATGGATGCAGAAGAGTAAACTGAGAACAGCTGAATTGTCTGACCATGTTTTATTCTGCTTTTGGATGTGTAGAAGTCATATTGATTAAAATGAAATCCATGGCCATCTTCACACCTTAGCCTGCTTGGCCTCTTTCTTTCTTTGGAAAATAAAGCACCTCATTGCACTTTGTGCAAAATGAAAACATGAGGGCACTGGACAATTTTCTGTCCAGGGATGTCAGCAGTGAATGAAACCATGGACTCTTCACTGCGGCCCCAGAGCTGCCAGCCCCAGCTGGGTGTCATCACCTGCTGCAGCTCTGCTGATCCTGTTGGGGCCACCCCTGACCCTGGCTGCCCCTGCAGGTACAGGCTGTGATCATTATTTGTTGTGTGCAGGTGTCCAGGAGGCTGTGGTGACCTGTCTGAACAAACAAACTAGGGAGCTTGCAGACGAAGCACTGTGTGTTAGCAGCCGTCGTCCTCCACAGCTGCTGAAGGCCTGTAGCCTGGACCCCTGCCCCCCAAGGTAGGCATAATTTTAAGTGACCCCAAACTCTATTGTCTTTCAGTCTGGAGATACACACTGCCTCAAGCATACCTTTCTCAGATGCAGGGGCTTGCATCCTCTTCCTGCCACAGTCATATTGAGCAGGAAGTACAAAACAGCAGTAAGACCAAAGGGCAAAATTCAGACTGTTTGCCTCTTCAAGTCCTTCAAGTAGACAGTTTATGAATTAGCTTAACTTTGCCCAGAGTTTTGTCAAGTTTAAAGAGACTTTTTCAACATCCCCTCTCAGAAAGATTTTTCAGAACCTGCTTGTCTCTTGCCTCGGGCAGTTTCCACAATCGTGACCCTAGAAACAGCAGATATTTCTCTGCAGAGATTCACATCTGAACCCTCGACAACAGAAAATAGCTGTTATGACATTATTATGGTTTATTTAAATATGTCAAGTCTATAAAATGTACTGTATATATACTGTTTTTTCCCCAGCTGTACACAGGTGCATTTACTCCATTGTGACACTGCAGCAGATTTTAAATACATTGTTGTATAACTCTGGACTATTTAAAACACTGAGCATTATCCAGGTGGTTGATCTACCTTAGAGCATTTATTGATAGATGTATGTATGATTTGTATGACAACAGGCTACAGAGGGGTATGTTGTTATGGATTATAGTAAATTTGGGATACACAGAGACAGTTTACATTAAAGATGAAAGAGGACCAGCATGAAATAACAATAAGGACAAAAATAATGGTTTGGTTGGTAATCAGGATTTTGAATTTGTGACAAATAGGTTGAAATTTCTTTACCAAAGCTTTACAAATATTGTGTGTGAGGATAATGCAACCCTAACTTTGTTAAATTTTCTTTATTGCTGAAAATAAGACACAAATATTATATAAATGTTTGAAAATTTCTTCATAGGTGGAGGTCCTGTTGTAATTCATAGGTAGAAACATCTCTGTTGCTGAGAGTGCATGGTATAGTATTGATCAACCACAAATTCTGACATGAAAAATAAGTACTCAGTAGTTAAGAAAAAACAAAGCACACTCATGTAGGCCAGTATTTATGGTACTTCTTTTATAAAAGCAACCTGAGTAATTGCCTAAATACTTCTTGAATTAATCTGTGTGACTATCTATAGTGCTGTGGTCACCTTGCTAACCAGAGTGGATCTAGTTTCATAAGCATGCATTTCCCTCCATGAATTACAGGAGGCTCATACTGCAGGTGAGAATCAGTCTGTGAAGCAGAGGTGAAAGGGGATTGATGCAGAGGGAGAAGACTAAGCAGCTTTAATCCATCCCTAGGGCTGCACCTGAGGAAAGGGGAAATTACTCTCTCCCCTGTATACACAACTTCTCTTCTGAAGCACCCTCAGTCTGGAGGAAATTGCCTGTCTGCAGGCCCAGGATGAAGAACAGGACATATTCTGCAAAACAGTTCCTCTGGTCAGAACAAGCAGGCCTGCAGACCGCAGGCAGCGGGACTAATGGAAAGGGAGTCAACAAGACAAGTTGATGTGTCTCTCAGGCAGGCTGTGATGGGATAATTGCCTTATTTCCTCCAAGTTTCTGAAGTGCTACAACTACCAATGTCACTGTGTTAAATACAATAGTATATTAATGAAACAGATAGTGTATAAAAAAATTTGCTTTATAATCATTATTTACAGCCACTTTAATACTTTTTTTAAAAGGAAAAAATAAAGGATTATTTGTTTAAATTAAGATTTTTCTCCTTGTTTAAATTATAAGATACTTCAGAATTCTAATTCAAGAAATTTTGATCCAGGAGTCTGACGGAAATTAAGGCTAAAATCATGTCCTTATGTATGCTGATGAAGGCATTTCTACCCACTGACAAGTCCAAAAATTATAATACACTGTGGCTGTGAACTTAGATCTCTTCTACAGGAGTTTCCAAAATCTGTGAACCATTGATACTTCCCAGAGCTCTTGTTGATGACTTATAGAGAGAGCTGGCTGGTCTCATAGTGCTGGCTCTTCTCTCTGCTTTCCAGCTGCCTAAGTGCGTTAACAGAAGCCTAAATTATACAAACCACTTTCCTAAAATATTCTTTATGTGTAAGTGACTGCTGGAGCATGCAATTGTTGTGGTAGAGGAGGCATTCCACTGAAAAGGCAACTGAGATGGTGATGAATGTCTTGGTAGACAAGGAAATATTGTCCATAGCATGAAGAAAAGGCTGAGAAGTCTTGCCCAAGAGAATAAAAATTCTCTCCTAATATATTTAGACAAATTATTCCAGTGGCATTTCTTGAACCTAAATAGCCCAGTGTGCTTAGAATTTAATATTTATGCATAAAATTTAGTACAGTTAAAGATCTTGCTTACTGTAGAGGGAGAACATTTAAATGTTAAAACTTCAAAGCTTTATGTTGCTTCTGCTACAGGCATTTTTGGTTACATGTAAGACTACTCTGCAGCCTCTCAAAGGGTTAGTCATGTAAGCTGTAAACAATTGTTTTAGTTGTTTTACTATAGATGGACAAAAGCACCGAACTACAGAATCTCATCAGCCTTTCTGCAGGGTTAGAAGACATGGACCTCAAGAATGATATTGTTGCAGTAGTAGGCGAAGAGTAATTTCATTCTGGTTTTGTTCCATCTTTTTTCTTTTGGACACTTTAGAAGAATGATACTAAAAGGATCTGCACTGTTGCTGTTCATTTTGCTCCTTACTGAAATTATATGTGGATAGACTAGAAAACTTCATTACTCACTTAATACTTAAGTTTAATACTTAATACTTAAGAAATTAACCTATAGTATCATCAGCCTTTTCAATCCCTAATTGCCCTGGTCTGTGTTGGAACAGAATATGGTAAAAGGTAGAATATACTGGCAATATGCTTCACATTTATGAAAACATTGAGAGGTAATGGTGCTTGTGCAGCAGCTGAGAATGCTTTGAAATTTTCTTTGGAATTCTGGCTTAATATATTAGCACAGTACTATTCTGAGTACATGGAAGAGAGACAAAAACTAAACCACAGAAATCTGTCTTCAGATATTCACAGCTGTATGGAGTCAGAAAAATCCCATACTTAAAATTCTTACAGAAGAAAGATTAAAAATCAGGAAGAGTTGCGCACTAAAAATTGGAATATTTCCTCTATATTCAAATCCCAACTGAGTCTCCTGGGGTTTCAGATTTTGTTGAGAGTTTTTTGCTTATTGCTTCAAGAACAATAGCAGAAAAAGAGTCCAGACCCTTTTCTCCTGGAAAACAATGTAACAAAATTTCCCATTTTGAACTGAATTAAGAAAATGGGAAACACTGCAGAGCTGATTGATAAGTTGGGAGCTAATAACTGACTTTCAACACAATAGTTACAGAGCAAAATTTGTTGTCATTAACTTAGTTTAATATTTCTAGGAAAAGGAAATAGCTTGTTTTGGTGTACTAGGAGAGCCAGCATGCTTTCTGCAGGAAAGAGAGGAATGAAGACTATGGCAATTTTAATTCAGTTGTTCAGTTACTTAATTTGTGTCAGTCAAGCTGTACCACTTGAAGAATTACATAGCAATAACTGAGCAGAGCACGGTCTTCCAGAAGTAAGCTCAGAATAGCTGTTCAATGTCTAGAAGTTTCTTCTCTAAGTGAAAAAAAAAACAAAAGGGAAGATCACTCAGTTTTGCTAATTGCTATGTTTGTATTCTAAATTACCAAGAAAACAATTAGAAGAACCCTGTTTCAATGTTAGCTTGGCTGTCTTCAACAACAAAACTACTCACGCCCAAAATGTGCCTTTTCCTCAGCCTCCACAGCCCTAATTACCGAGGCAGTCATCATCTAATCAGATATAATTGCTATTGTTTATAAGAGCAACAGCATGCGCACCTCATGGTGAGCCAACTAGCTCTATCAAAGGGGTGAAAGAGAATGTTGTAACTCTGTTATTAATTATAACTGCTCAATAATTTGGTCAATGCGTGTTGAAAAGATTTGGTAAACATGTATGGACTAGGGAAGAGAGAATCAAAGCAATGAAAACCAGATGGCTGAAAATAGAGGAAATTACAGGCAATTTTTACAGCTTTGTTCATGAATATTTTCAAAACTGAACTTTTATTTCTGTGCAACAAAGAACAGCTGAATTCCACAAAATGAAGGAAAAAAAAAAAAAGAAGAGAAAGCAGATGGCTCTAGGAATAGCACACAATTTCACCCCAGCAGTCTCCCTTTATCACTTCAAGCCTGTGTGATTTGCAAGAAAAGATAGGAAACCCTCTGAGTGGTTCTGATACCTGACCAAAAAGGCAAACATTGTCTGAGTTATTCTGGCCTCTACCATTGCATAGGTTTTGGGGTTTTTTCTCTTTCTTTTTCTTTTCTTCTGTGTCAGCTTGATTTGTGTTTGTGTGATGAATCATCTGTTATTATTTTAATATTTATTTGGTAAATGTGGTATTGTCATCTGTTTTGCTCCATTTCCCAGCTAAACTACAAAGGATAAAAAATCAACGTTTTTCAATGTATTCAATTGGTGATAGGTCAGACTTAGTGTAAGTCATGCTCCCATCAGCAATCTGAAATTAATTCAATATGTGTGAAAGGGCCAGAGCTTTCTCTAATCCATTAAAGGTGACCCATGTGTGGAAGGGTGTCAATGCAGATGTCTTTTGCATTGGTTGGGTGAAATATTAGAGCATCTCTATCGAGTTCATGAAAAAGGTTAAAAGGTCTGCAAGTCATTATGTCTACAGATATTGCACCATAGCCTTACTGGTGGGGGATACCAGTTTTTGTTATTGTTAAGAACTACCAGTTCTTGCAGTTTGGTGGTTTTTTCAGAGTTGTAAGCTAGAATTAGCATTAATGAGGCAAAGCTGGTATTACTGTCTCTTTGTGACACAGGCGGGTTTTCAAATCCTCACAAACAAGTGATTTATTTTTTAAATGGGACACGCTTAGGTCTATTTTTAGCTGAAGCGCATTGAGAATGTCTTTGAGATCCTCTTAAAATGTAGCCCACAGCGCCTC